AAAAAAAAAAAAAAAAAAATCCCGGTCCTAAAATTTAAAGACACATCAGGCAGATTTAGGACACTAGCTGCTAGGCTGCGAGAGTTGACCTATGTACTCACATAGCCTTGGGCTTAGAAGGGTTCCTTTCCCCCAGCTGGTTTAATGTTTTGCTGCCACTGTCTTGAAATTCCGAATAGTCTTTAAAGAAGGGCTCTGCATTTTCATTTTGCTCTAGGCCCCCTTCATGCAGTTGGTCTTGTCAGTGCCATGAAGACGCTCAAGCAACCTGTTGAGAGCCTATCGAGTGGCCCATGTAAGGAGGAGCCTAGGTCTGCTAACGAACACATGAATATGCTTGGAAGTGGATCTTCTGAGTCCTCTGATGGCTACATGAGTGAGCCTAGAAGCAGATTTTCTCATCTCAGTAGTGTCCAGATGACCAACAGCATGACTAAACCTCATTAACTACAGCCAGAGGGAAGAGTAGCACATGGCCCTAGGACAATTTGTTCTTTCACATGGTCCAGTCTTCTCTCCTTTCCATGTGTCACATAATGGAAGACTAGTTACCTTAAACAATATAATCACAGTTCTTTGGCATAGTGAGAAATAAAATGGACATGGAATGATGAGGATCTAAGAGTGAAAGGAGTCAAGAAGTGAGAGGAATAGAAATGGAAGCTGATGATTGCGACAAGCAGCTGCCATAATGGTTACATCATTGGACTCCCACACAGTCTACCGAGGTTCAAGGCCTGGACTCAGCAGCTTAAAACTCACACTGGGCACATATGTGTGCATACTCAAATCCTGAGACGAGAATGGAGGAGAAGGTACTGCTGCATGGCCATCCCCCCGGGGGGTGATTTCTTGCTTTCTGTCTCTCTGTTTCTCTTTGTCTCTCTGGTGAGCACATGTGTCTTATAGCAAACATCTCTCTCAAAAAAAAAAAAAAGAAAAGAAAGGAAAAGGAATTGAAACCAATGGACAATGGAATAGCATAAGCATTTAGACATAAGTCTGGATTTTAATTAAGGCATATTTTTAAGGGAAGTAAGAATTGATATGAAACCAAAGAGGAGATTTTTGCAAGAAAATGAGTATTTGAAGTTGCTAAATAAGAGGAAAAAAATGAGGAAAGAGATGAGTTCTTCTGTACAACGGAAGAGATAGAATTACAAAATTATTTTACCTTAAAAAAAATTAAGAAAACCCATTTATCTGGTTCTTTCTATTTCTAGGTACTTTACAAATATATA